AATTAGACCTCTGGTCTGAGAAGTCCAACAGCATAAATGGATGACTTTAGCCAAAGCTAGAGATGTATGTCAGCCTTCATGAATGACGGAAGAGTAGATAAACTAGTGCTTCACCTAAACCTTCAGAGAAAACAGAACAATGAGGAAGATGTATCACCTTATTTTTTGATGTAGAAGAAACCACTAACTTGTATATATGAGCACCTTTAGGTGGTGCTGATCATGGTTTCAAATTAGTATCAGAAGAACAAGGTCATGGTAAACAAGAATTTTGGATGACAATCTAAAAATAGGAGGATTAAAATTATGTATTCTTCTCATGTTGGTTCATACTAGAATTCTGATTCTGAGCAAGTTGCAAATAGGTTGATTCAACTCAATTGTATTAGGATTCGGCCTGCCCTTGAATCCTATTAAGCTGATAATAGTCAAGAAGAAGGAAGAGAGAGAGAGAGAGAGAGAAAGAACTGGTTCGAATGAGAGAAAGAGATCACTCTCCCATTCGGCCAGAATTGATTTATATTACTTATATTGTGGAAAAGACACATGTGCCCCTACTTAAGTAAGGGACACTAAATCTAACATAATCTTACACATCAACACATAAACATAAGTATAAAGATAGAACTACCCCTACGTATTCGACACTAACACTCCCCCTCAAGCTGGAGAATATATATCATATAATCCCAGCTTGTTACATATGTAGTCCACTCTTCCCCGACTCAACCCTTTAGTAAACAAGTCTGCCCACTGGTTCCCTGTGTTAACATATGCAGTATCTATCACTACACTCAGCACCTTCTCTTTCACAAAGTGACAGTCAACCTCTATGTGCTTGGTTCTCTCATGAAACACTGGATTAGAAGAAATATGAACTGCAGCCTGATTGTCACAGTAGAGCTTCATTGGAGTGTCAACAGTGTATCCCATCTCCTGTAGGAGGTTCTTCAGCCACACTAATTCACAAGTAGTATGTGCCATAGCTCTATATTCTACCTCTACACTGCTTCTTGCCACAACTATCTGCTTCTTACTTTTCCATGTCACCRGATTACCCCCAAGAAAAGTGCAATAGCCTGTGGTAGATCTCCTATTAGACATAGAACCGGCCCAGTCGGCATCAGTATATCCTTCTATTTCAAGTTTTCCACCACTCTTGCATATCAAACCACGACCAGGAGCTCCCTTTAAATACCTCACAATTCTTAGAATCGCATCCCAATGTGGAACCAGAGGATTCTGCATGAACTCACTTACCACACTAACTGCAAATGAAATATCTCGCCGAGTAATGGTTAGATAGCTCAGTTTACCTACAAGTCGCTGGTATCTGCCAGGGTCTTTAAACACTTCACCCATATCGCTGCTCAACTTAGTGTTAGTTTCCATAGGTGTTTCAGCTGGTTTAGCACCTAACAAACCTGTTTCTTCCAGCAAATCAAGGACATATTTCCTCTGACACAAGTTAATACCATGCTTAGACCTTGCTACTTCTATCCCCAAGAAATATTTCAATTTACCAAGGTCCTTTGTTTGAAAATGTTCCTGTAGAAAAGTCTTCAACCTGTCAATGCCTATTTTATCATTTCCGGTAATAACAATATCATCTACGTACACCACCAATAGATGGCGAAGAAACCAAGAAAAAACCCTAGGCACTATTTCAGCCCTTTCCCTTATCTCCAACAGATGGCGAAGAAACCAAGAGAAAACCCTAGGCTGGGTGCATAGAGAACAGAATTCTGGGCAGGTCTGATTTACTCAGTTTGGCTCTGATACCATATTAGGATTCGGCCTGCCCTTGAATCCTATTAAGCTGATAACAGTCAAGAAGAAGGAAGAGAAAGAGAGAGAGAGA